CGTGGAGTGGGGGCGCGTCCGGTGCCCGGCGCCAGCCCGGGCGGGAGCCGCCAGGCAGCCAGAGTGCCCGGGAGTGGTGATGTTAAGGGGGAACGGTGCAAGACCCATGTCTAGGTTCAAACAAACCAACAAAACCAAACGTGGGAAAACATGTCATGGGGTTCTTGTCACAAGGAGGTTAAAACTTCAAAATACCTGTTTCTCGGTAGCCAGAGAAAAAGCTTTTCTGAGGCCTGCTGCACCTCTGTGCTTGTGAAGCTCGTGCTGATGTCAATGAAAACGTCAAAGTCGCTGAAACTCAGATCTGTATCTAAAGTGGCAGCTCCAAGTTCCTAATTTCTTCAGGAGACAGGCTAAAAACATATGGCTTACAGAAGGCCCTGAATTAAAGCTGACAGTTTTGTATGCCCTGATCACTGTAGTGTCTAGGTGCATTCCAGTAATGCATGTCACATGTTGTTCTTTCATCTTCTTCCCAGGAGAAGTGGGTGTAGTTGTGTCTCATTGCAGTAAGATTTGTGTGTGTGTATAACTCGGGGGGATTTATTTTAAATTTTGTGCAGAGAGTTTTGATCAACCGTAGACACCCCAGAATCAAAACTCAGTAAAAATGTGGAAAGTCTGGAGCGCCAAGTTCCTGAAGTTCACTCCACAGACAAGACACACACCTGAGAGTATTTGTCTCCTGGAGAAACTCATTTTACCCTTCGGATATCCTTGGCTTGTGTCATGTATCACCTGAAAATAAAGACCAAGAACTAGAATTTGATCTAAAGTGCTACAAGAAGAGAAGGCAGAGGACAAACGGTGGTTTTGTTGTTCTTACCATGCCTTTTGCCAAGGCAGCACAAGTCAGTATTTGGTTGGAGTTCCCTGATTGCTGAAACTTTCCTGTTTGGGAGCATCTCGCAGCTCCAGTCCTGCCCTGCAAGAACTCAGGTTTGGGTGTACAAGGTCAAGCTACTTCAAAAGAATAGGATGGAGTCTTCTTGCCAGCAGGGTATGATAGAAAACAGACGTGGCATTGGCACAGTATAGAACAAAGCTGACTGGAGAGTGACGCTGCAACTGAGCGAAAAATGAGCTATGATCTTGCAAACACTTGCACGTGTGACTTTGTTTACTTCCACGTGTTGCTGCACTTATAGTTAATCCAGATGGCCATGTGATTAAAGATGAATGCATGCACAAGACTGAGAAAGCGTTTAATACTTTCAGAATTGGCTAGGACTACATGCAGGGTTTTTTGTTATTTTGGGGAGTTAGATGCTAATAAGAGAGATAAAAGGTACAATATGAATGAGAACCATGCTTTACAGAAAGAGCTTTCTTTAAGGAGATAGAGAGATTATGTATCACAGGCCAGTTTGGATGGGAAGACGCTGTGCTAGCAGTGCTATGCTTAAATGAGACAATGTACTATGTGTCATTTAAAGGCACAAATACAGAGTTGGAAAAGCAGAACATATAAGCAAGTAAGCCTGGTGGGCAGTTGTTATTTATAGTTACTGGAAGAAGATAGGACATTGTGTATGTGCTTTTTAATTGGCCCAAAATAGGAAATAAGTTCATCTTGTATTCAAGCTCTTTTTACATTACAGGGATAGCACATTATGGGGCTTTGCACTCCTGCCAATGTTCTCTGTCGAAAAAGTAAATTTCCAGTTTTCACAAAGTTGCATATGCCTCCATAAATATACGAGGCAATATGCCTTCTTGTTTTAAGATTATACTTTAACACATTTGATTAGAGAGATGCATGTGCTGGAAGTCTGCTGCATTTATTATATTCAAAAAGAAGAAAACCCCCTCAAATTTACGTGTGATACTTCCTTTCTTGTTTTTGGAAAATGACGGTGGCAGACCTGCTAGTCATGCTAAGCCACACAAGCACTTGTTCAGTCTCCTCACGTGACAAAGGAAATGGAACGTAGTTAACTATTTCAAGTAAAATTCTGGTCCCATTGAGGTTAATACATTATTTTGCCTACAGGGTCACAAATTGACACAACTATTTTTAGGACTGATACTGGCAGGGAAATGGGAGGATGATGCTGAAACTCTTCTTTGTCTGATGTGAACTCTTACTGTTCTCGTGAAGATAGCAATTGAATGCCTTATCACACTGAGCAGAGCTGCTGGCTTCAGAACAGAAGGTGGCCTCCTGGAGTTTTTACTTCAGTATCTTGTATTCCTCAGGGAAGGTAACGGAGAAGGAAATAACACCTTCAGCAACCCTGACACAACCTAGTTTTGCAACGAGAAACCTACAGTAGCACCTACGGTCCAAAATGAGCTATCAGCCTCTGGCTCATCACCTTGTCCTGTGGCGCTTTTATCTGAAAAGCACTATAGCTCAGCTCCTTCTTTGAGGTGTGCCACTGACACTCCATGTTGACATGCTTCTGCCTCCTATCTTTGTGTCCAAACTGCTGAGAATAGGGCTTCCACTCCCTTAAAACTGTAGAACAGTAACATCTTCTCAGATACTGCTGGAAGGTTGTGGCAGTATATCCCATGTTTTGGCTTTGGAAGGACAGGGTAGCATTTTGAGAGAAGTGGCTGGCAGTGATCTTTCCATACTGTAGAACATGCACCCTGGAGTCCAGGCCTGTTGCTTGCGCATGGGTCTACAATGACCTTTCTCACAGATCTGAATCTGCTACTTGTGTTGACAAGGTAAATAGGATTGAGGCATCCACAATGCGGGGTTGTGTTTGTGCACCAGAAGAAGAGTTGGAAGAAGCAGCCACCTCTTCTATGTACATTATATGCAACTAGCACCCACAGCCAGAATTAATGAAAAACCTCCACCTCACTGATAAAGACTATGCCACAGACAAAAGCCATTATAAAAATCCTGTTATCATTCACCCCACAAAATAAAGGAGGTGGGGAAAATCTGGCACTGGCTACAGAAGAAAACCTCCAGAGTCTGAATGAATAAGGAACAAGGGATTCATTATCTCCTGTATGATTACAGTTTGCTTTTAGCTTCCTTTTTTTTTTTTCTTCCCCAAACATACCTTATTAAAAATAAAACAAAGGCAAATTGTTCTCTGATGGCTATTCCAGCCTCTGTCAGTGATGTGCATTAGGAAATGGGACAAGTCCACATGACCTCTGTCCTCTGTATCTTTGAGATAATTACACTGTATTTTAGAAAAGCGCTTGAACTATGGTTGACAAGTGCTGTATGCCAGTTCTCTTATTAGAAAACCTCAGTAAAGAAAAACCTGAGCCCTCTGAAACCATCTCAGATTATAGAAGGAAAGCAAATGACACTTACTGATACAGAGGTTAATTCAGCCCTATTATTTAACAGTAGCTTACACTTAGAAGTTTGACTGTAGCATTATGAACTGCAGAAAGTTTTTGTCTCTAGGGTCCCGTTCTTCTGTCAATGGTGATGAAAAGAACTGTGGCTAGGGTAAAGCTATGCTGCAACATACAATTCAAGAAGCATCTTGCTATTTCAAGGTTTGCCTTTTTTTTTTTTTTTCTCATGTTGGGGAAAGTATCACACTTAATGCTTTTCCAGGTTACTCAAGTTCAGTCATTTATTCCTGAGAAGTTTTAGCTTGTTTTTTTTTTAACAGTCTCCTCAACATACTTTTCCTCTACAATGTAAATGATGACATCAGGGTAAAGCAGCAAGCTCTAAAAGTACTCGACTTGGGGAAATTAATTTATTATCAATCCAATCAGAGTAGGATAATGAGAAATAAAATACAATCTTAGAACACCTTCCCCCCCACCCCTCCCTCCTTCATTCCCGATTTCTTTACCTCCTCCCTGCCAGCGGCACAGGGGGATGGGGAATGGGGGTTACAGCCTGTTTATCACACATTGGTTTTGCTACTTCTTGCCCCCAGGGAGAGGACTCCTCACACTCATCCCCTGCTTGTGTGGGGTCCCTCACATGGGAGACAGTTCTCCACGAACTGCTCCAGTGTGGGTCCCTTCCAGCAGTTCGAGACCTTCAGCAGCAGACTGCTCCAGCATGGGCTCCTCTCCCTACATGTCCACAGGCCCTGCAATCTTTCAGCAGAACAGTGTGAGAGTGGGTCTATGCCATCACTTGCTTTATGTTAATTTACAACAGGGCTGCCCAGATAAAGCTGTCTTGGACAACCTTCTCTCAGATGTAGATTACAGTGGCAAAAGGGACTCCTACTGCTCCAGTATGGGCTTCCCACAGGGTCACAGCCCCCTTCAGGCCACACACACCTGCTCTGGCATGGGGTCCTCCACAGGGTGCAAGTGGATGTCTGCTCCACCGTTAACCTCCGTGGGCTGCAGGAGACAGCCTGCCTCACTGTGGTCTTCACCATGGGCTACAGGTGAATCTTTGCTCCAGCACCTAGAGCACCTCCTCCCCCTCCTTCTTCACTGACCTTGGTGTCTGCAGAGGTTTTTCTTTCACATATTCTCACTCCTCTCTCCGGCTGCAATTGCCCAGGTTTTGCACACCCCACTTCTTAAATATGTTACCCAGAGGTGCTACCACCATCGCTGATGGGCTTGGCCTTGGCCCCCAGCAGGTCTGTCTTAGAGCCAGCTGGCATTGGCTGTATCGGACATGGGGGAAGCTTCTAGTGGCTTCCCACAGAAGCCACCCCTGTAGCGCCCCCCCTCTCACCCCTAAAACCTTGCCATGAAAACACAATACAAACACATTTCACTTTATCTGCTGTTACAGAGCAGCATTTATTCCGTCAATAAAACACTAGCCTTGCATAGCAACAAATGAACGGTACAGAAAAGGTTGCTACTGGTGCAGCTGGCCTGGACAATTAATACAAAATAGACTACGCATTACTCAAGTTTTTTAGGACACTGGTGCCATATGTCCTAAGAAATGTAAGGCCAGATAAAAAATACTGCTTTTTCACACAATTTATGTTGCACAGTCCTTTCAGATCCACACCAGAGCAGCTGCACTTTCTTCACTGGTTTCCATCATTTTGCAACTCCAGCTTCATAAGCTGGTCCTCAAACTTTTGAATATCTACTTGATGCTTCATTAGGAACTTCCCATTTAAATGAAAAACAGGTATGTCATATTTGTATTTATCATACCACGCTGAGTTCACTGGAAGGGTAATATCCACCTCCTGCAAAATAAACTGTGACAGAAAAGAACTATGTTAGTACCTACTGGACACTGAAAAAACAATACCTGCTTGTCTTTTGTTCAGTATTTTTTTCAGAAATTCAAGGCTGTTTTCTTGGTACTTTTGGATTTATTCTTCCATGTTATAGACAATCGCCCATTTTATGGGTACAAAATGTATGTAGCCACAATCCTTGGCTGCGTGTCTGCAAAGGACTCTCTCCCTAGTCCAGGATGATATTCTTGATCCTCTGTGCAGAACTACTCTCCTGTGAGTACCAACCACAACAAATGCGCAGCTGGCAACACAACCGCTGCCTGTTAGACAGCAGAGTGCAACACCTCTTAATGCTTGTGTTAACAGTTTCTTCCTTCAAGAAAGAGCCCAACTTGGTTGAAGAATGGCAAAAATTGCAATCGCATATAGTTCAAATATTTGAAGTCTCACTTCCCAAACGATACCACTACCTGCCTCATAAAAGTTGCAAACTCCTCTATCAGACCAGGCAACAGTGTTTACAAAAGCAGTGGTTTTAAAAACTATTGCAACAAGGTGTATATTGGTTTAGTTTGCCAATACCTATTTGAGTAGCATTGTCACAAAATGCTTTTGGATAACAAAATTTATGGAAATCAGTGCTGACATTGTCTTGAAGAGGTCAGCCATGAAAAAATAACAGATGCAAATAAATCCAAGCCATTTTCTTTTACAAAGAAAGAATCCTGATTAACTGTTCTTTCTATGTAGAATAAGTATACAGTATTGGAATACATTACCCTTCTCTTATATGGCTCAAGCACTTCTTTTGCTTCATCACATAGAGGGCATGGTTTCTAAAGGAAAATATTCAGACCAACTTAAAGCATACAGTAAAACACACAGATCATTTGTACTGTAAAGTAACATACAAAGACAGAGGTGATCATTACTGTAAATGTGGGTTCCCTCCCCCGCACTACCCTGTTTTACTGCTTTCTAAATCTTTATCAGTGCAGCATGGATGAAAAGAAAATAAACTATTCAGTCACATAATTTAATTATGTCTCATTTGCTATTATTCTTCTCATGGTGCAAATTAACAGTTTTCAACAGCTCTTTCTTCGAAAGGCTGATTCAAGGGCATGGTTTGGAGGGTCATGCACAGACCCTTTCTTTTGGTCAGCAGCAACTACTCAAAGCATTGCCACCACCAGCTGAAAAGAACTATGGGTACCACTCTTGACAGAAGAAACTTCCCTTGATAAAAGGGGAATGAGGTAGTCACATGAGTAATTTCTAATCTGTTTCAGATCCAGTCACTTCGGTCAGTTCAAATAGCAAAAGAAGGTGATTTAAGACACCCTGGCTGACTTTGCCTGAAAGGAATTAAGCGTGATCCTCCAACCTGCAGATCTGGGAGGACAGGAACCTCCAGTCAGCAAGGAGAACTGAAATACAGCTGCCATGTTTTGACCTCTGATGGGGTCAAAGAAAACTTCCCATTTTTGAAAACTCCCCAGTAGTCCACTACAGTTATACAGCTGATCATGCATCATGATCATTAGAGCAGTGTGTACCTGAAAAACTGACCCACATGAAGGCATGTGGCTTCAGCGTTTGTAATGGCAGAATTTGGCCTTTAATTCACACAGCAAAGTATACAGTGGTGAAGATGACAGCTCTGTTCCTCTGCCATGAAATACCTCTCACAGCTGGTAAAGACCTTCTCCTCTCCCTCCCACTTTAAGTCTTCCTAGGGCTTGTTTAAACATGGAGTTGACCTGAAACAGCTAATTCTTGTTTCCTGCGTGTGAATTAATTTGGATTAAATACTCTACTTTTAATTCACATCTAATCTAAAATGTCTTTCCCACACAGACAAGTCCTCATGCTCTGAAAATCTATGCAAGATGCTAAAGATCATCAGTGCTGTGTTCTTGCTAGTTCTTGTTGCTTGTGGAGGGACTGACATACCTGATATTGGTGACTGAAAGGAATGTCCCAGAATCCCGCACATCAGTTTTGTAACATGCCAGGCACCTAACAGGTTAAAGCAGGACATACTTGGTTCCCCTAGGCCTATGGAGAGCTTCTTAACAGAAGTCACATGAAAGCATTTGACAAACTAAGCTGACTCTTAGCAAAGAATATGTTATCGCTGCAAGCTTAAGCACTATGTGGTACTAATAAGATTGCAACTGGTTTAAAAAATCAGATAGTGAACTATTTCAACTAACAGTGAAATCTGTTCGTCCATTTATATTAGTACATATTTTTCAGTAGAACAGTGGCAAAAAGGGACTCCTACTGCTGAGGTACTAAAAATCCCTTCCTAAAGTGACACAGGCTGTGCTGATAGCTAGATCTGTTACACTACACACATGGTGGAAGGGACAGTTTTATTTCTACAGATAATTGCCATTTACGCTGCACACTTAGACCGCAGATTTGTGGTCATTTTAAGCTGGCACTGCTTCTGAAGGAAGCAGAATCATCTTCCTGTCACTGCTTCTTTTGTGCTGGCATAAGCACTCAAAGACCTGCACAGTAGAGCTAGACAGTAGAACTGATCTCAATTAATAGTAACCTTGCCAAAAAAAAAAAAAAAGGTTGGTTTTTATCTGGAGCAGTTGCATGAATGTTTGTGTTGACTTAAAAGCAGCCTGCAAGGGGAAAACCATTTGGCAATGCTAGCTTCCATCAGTCTGAAGTGGCTGCAGAAGTCATAGCTCCCTCCTTCCTTCTCCCCCTCTTTCCTCCTTATTCTTAAAAACAGAAAGGAGGGAAAAATGAGTTAATTAGCATAAACTAAGAGTGCAGATCAGATTTATTTTTATTGAATTTTGCTTTGCAATTCCCAGGGGTATCAGTCATCAAAAACATTTTAAGTTAAAAACATGTTCAACAAGAGGCCACTTTAAAGAATCATTTGAACTCTACTATTAGAAAATTTGATTTCATACAGTGTCTTATTGGTTAGAAATTTTAAGACACAAAAATCATACAAAAAGCTTTTTTCCAGTTATTAACCCAAACACAAGCTTCTTATTCCCTACCTTATCACATCTGGATTATGAATGAGTTGATGTTGAATCAGGAAGGGGGAGAGAGACCTGTAACTTTAAAGTTTAATTCTTACAGCATACATTGCTCTGATTAATAAACAGATGGTGACCTTCTATTTTTTAACCTATTCATAGGTTACACAGTTTAAAAACTCCTTTAAGGCTAGGGATGGAATAAGCAAACATTGTGGAGGAGAAGGAAATTATTTTAATCGCATCTCCAACAAATACTGCCATACTGATGTCAACATTCCCAGTGCTTTGCATTTCTAGTTGTTCTCCTCTTGAAGGCTACATCAACCATACAAATGTAGCACAGGCCGCCATGTGCCATCCCATCTAAAAGTGCAGGAGACCTCTGCAGATAACACAGGCTCTTGATGACACTTCATGGAAGGTGACAGTTCACAAGTGACCATTC